TCACTGGCTCTGACACTCTCCCCCCTTCCTCCTGCGCCCTGTAGGTGTGGGTGTGCCCAGGTCACTGGCTCTGACACTCTCCCCCCTTCCTCCTGTGCCCTGTAGGTGTGGGTGTGCCCAGGTCACTCTCTGACACTCTCCCCCCTTCCTTCCTGCACCCTGTAGGTGTGGGTGTGCCCAGGTCACTGTCTCTGGCACTGTCCTCTCCCTGGCAATCACACTGACACCCTGATGGTCCCACTGATGGCTCCCAAACCTCTTCCCAGAGAAGTCCTCTCTTGCACTTCAACCCCGTATTTCTGTCCGTACACAGACCCTTGGGCACTGCCAGCTCCCTAAGGCCCAACAGAACTCATTCTCCTCTGGAGCCAGCTCCTCCTCTCCTGTGGTCTTCGGGTTAAATGGCACCCACCCATGCCAGCCAGAAATCTGGGAGTTGTCCTAATTCTGGGCTCTCTCCCACCTCACATCCAGTAAACGATTACGTCTGTCAGTCCCACCTCCCAAGCGTCTGTCAGTCCCACCTCCCAAGCGTAACTAGAACTTGTCCTCTCTCCTTTCAATCTTCGCTGCCACAGCCTTCATTCCGTCACCCCTCTCCAGCTTCACCGCTACACCGTCAGCCACCCCCCTGCCTGCGGACTTGTTCCCTCCACCCCAATCGCGTTCCCTCCCCACTGCTCCCGGGGCAGTCCTCCTAAAATGCAAATCCTACCTGGACAATCTCCAGCAAAACAATCTTCCAGAAGCTCCCATTTAGCTTCCGATTAAGGTAAAAATCCTGAACACGGAATGAAGACCCTTGGCCATCTGCCTCTTAGGAAAGCTTTCAACAACTCCCCACCTGCCCCTCCACTCCACCTCCACCAACCAGCAGACTTTCTCAGGAGGAGCTCAGGGGCCTCTCCTACCCAGAACTGTCACTCCTTCTCCCTTAGATGAATCACCCTACTTGTCCTCTGTGACACAGCTCAAAGACCATCCCCTCTGAGAATCTTAGCAGCATCCTAGATTTTCTGAACTCCGCTAGTTCTGGCCGTTGCTCTGCGATGGATCTCATCACAGCCACTGAATCACCAGTGGCTCGTCCCATTTCCTTCCCTCATGGGCGCCACCCGAGGACAGGTGGCCACATTTTCCACCTCTTCCACCTCTCTGATTTGCCATCTCTAGTAGAGAGCCTTAGATTCAGTGATGCCAATTCAATGATGGCCCAGAAGGCTGTGTGTATTTCAGACGGCACCATGCCTGCTTTTCCTTGGGATTCAGTGATGCCACAAACTAACAATGGCCCAGAAGTACAGTCAGCAGTACAGTGCACTCCCTCCCCGTCACCCACCCAGGAGGCCGACGGTCAGCAGTACGGTGCACTCCCTCCCCGTCACCCAAGGAGGCCGACGGTCAGCAGTACAGTGCACTCCCTCCCCGTCACCCAAGGAGGCCGACGGTCAGCAGTACAGTGCACTCCCTCCCCGTCACCCAAGGAGGCTGACGGTCAGCAGTACAGTGCACTCCCTCCCCGTCACCCACCCGGGAGGCCGACGGTCAGCAGTACAGTGCACTCCCTCCCCGTCACCCACCCGGGAGGCCGACGGTCAGCAGTACAGTCCACTCCCTCCCCGTCACCCACCCGGGAGGCCTATGGTCAGCAGCCTTACATGCTAGAACAAGCACAGGGCAGTCAGGGCCTGAAGGGTAACAACTAATAACAACAATAAACGGAAAATCAGAAAAAAGGGTGTAAATGAACTCACCCTGTAGAAGGAGTGCACTTTCAGTCCTTTTTTTTTTTTCCAATTTGGAAATTTTTTTTAATTGTGCTTTAGGTGAAGGTTTACAGCTCAAGTTAATTTCTCATTCAAAAATTTATGTATCTATTGTTTTGTGACATTAGTTGCAACTCCCACAACACGACAGCATGCTCCCGCTTTCCACCCCGAGTTCCCCGTGTCCATTCACCAGTTCCTGCCCCTCCTGCCTTCGCATCCTGCTTCGGGACAGGAGCTGCCCTTTCGGTCTGTGTATCTGAATGAAATAAGAAGCACGTTCCTCACGTGTACCGTTTTTGTTTTATATCCTCATCTTTGTCTGAAGAGTGGGCTTCGGGAGTGTTTTCAGTTCTGGGTTAACAGAGTGTCTGAGGCCATATTTCAGGGTTCCTCCAGTAGAAGTACGCTTTCCTTCCGTTCCAGGATTTAGGCATACAATGTTACAGCATTTATTTTAAACAATGTAATTAGTTAAACATGTAACCTTGATACTGACTGTCCAAAATGTCTGCATGTCCAGAGAGCAAAACGCAGAAACTCCTTGACTTTAGTAAAAGCTTCTCCACAGTCCTTCACTGACAATAATTAGACAAATTCTCTTTATTCCGACTTAGGTTTCCTTAAGAAAGATGATCTTCCATATGAATAAATAGCAAAATGAGTGTTTTAACATTTTTAAAAAACAAAAGTAGTAGACATCAACTTTTCGTTTTATAATATATTTATCCATGTAGATAGGTAATTATCACCATGATTTGAAGGACACTTTTTCATTATTAGATTATAAGAAAAGAATCTAGACAGAAAGTTTTTACCACAAAATTATGTCCCAAAGTGTTTAGGGTCCCCAGTAACAGAGGTAAAAAAGAAGCTCAAAAGGGTCACAGCTCAGCAACCTCTCGTAAGCAACAAAGCAGAACACGACCTGCTATTTGTGACTATGAAGATACTCCCCCACATAAAAATATCTTTTACAGAGGTAACAGGGAATAATAAGTCTCAATGTCACAGTTCAATTTTGTATAAAACAACCCTTCTTAATCCCCCCAAGCTTTTTTTTTTTTTGCTTTAAGATTAAAAAAAAAAAGGCCATTCCCTAAGATACACTTAGTGAAAATTATCTCAAAGCCAATGTTATCCATTATTTATTGTCCTTACTGAAGCCTACCTGGATGTTCCTGAGCAGTTCTCAGAACTCTTCATGCTGATTAACTGGTTCTAAAACAGAATTCTTCAGTGCCACATGATACAAAACAAAAAGGCCAAAATAATCCTCACAAACATACTCTGAAAAAGGTATATTTGAAATATAAACACAATGACTTTCCAGTCCATTATTTTTCCTAATGACTAAACTCTAAATAAAACAACAATGGAGGTTTTCAAACCAGTGGTGTGTGTAGCCACTTCTCATGACACAGTCATTTAAAGTTCTCATCTGCAAAACACAACACGGGGAGAAAATGTCAGGTAGCCCCACTTAGTTTACAAAATGAAAACCATAAACATTACAAGTCATGTATGCCAAATAGTAAACGTTACATATTTTGCTTTTTTTTGTCCTTTTTTTCCCTGATCAGAAAAGTAACACAGGATTGCTGTAGCAAAATTTGGAAAACACAGAAAAAAATAAACACTTATAACCCTAACATTCAAAAGTAATTGTTAATATTTTGGGGTTTTGCCTCTCAGTATGTTTTTCTCCTATACACAAATAATTGGGTTTACTTTTTCTTTGAATAAGAAATACTTTTTCTTGAATTAAAATTAGGATATTACATATGCATTTTTGTCTTTTGTTCACCTAGCATATGGTATATTAAGTACCTGTAACATTAGAAATCACTCCAAAACTTGATGAATGTGTCACAATATATTAGATCATTTCCCTGCTTTGAGGTGTTTATGTTGATTCCAATTCTTTGATACAATAACCACGACTGTCATGAAGATATTTAAAACTTGTAACACTTCTAGTTATTTTCTTAAATATAGATCTAGAAGCAGAATCACTATGTCAAAAGAATCCTGGTATGTTCCCAAGTGTTTTCCTAAAACACCATTTGTTTTTGAGCGTCCCTCTCAGAAGCCACGGCTTTCTAGAAATTTCCTTTTTCCTTTCTTATTAGTATTTACCAGTTTTTAAGTGGAAAAAAATGATATCTCATGGCTTCCTGAATCTGCATTTCTTTTATTACTAAAGAAATAATGTTTGACACACTGAAAGAATTCCTCAGTGGGGCTCAGCACTTGAAAGTACACTGATAAAAGAATGTACATAATTCATGAACAACAGAAATTATAAACAGTCAGAGTTCTCCATAGACTAAGCAAGGATGAAAGCATATACATTATCTAAGCTTTCTTATAATGCCAACAAATTACATAACAAATCTCTCTTAACCAAAACTAAAGAACCTTTGACTTTAATGGTAAGTCCGCTCAGTCATTTCCCCTCAAAACATAAAAAAAGAATGGTTCCTTTCACAATCTCTGCTTAACTTTAGTAGAAATGCTGGCAACAGCCAGTCAAGTAGGGACAAAGATAAAGAAAACATCTAATATAGAAAAGGAAAAATTACAGCATCATTTCTTGCTGATAATAATTACATACTTATTAGAAACTGACCAAAAATATTAGAGGTAACAAAACAATTTAGCAAACTTGCAGGGGGGAAAAAGATTAAATCTGAATAAATTAATAGTATTTCTGCATTCAAGAAAAGAAGCCCTGGTGGCACAATGTTTAAGCACTCATCTGCTAACCGAACGGTCAGTGGTTGGAACCCACCAACGGCTCTACGGAAGAAAAGACCTGGCCATCTGCTCTGGTAAAGATCACAGCGTAGGACACCCTGAGGCAGTTCTATTTTGTCCTGTAGGGTCGATATGAGTCAGAATCGACCGATGGCACAAAACAACAATTCCATTCAAGAAGTAAAGCTAGAATGTATACTAAAAAAAAAAAGTGATTTAAGTAGAAAATGATTAATTCAAGTTAGGATTTAAAACGCATCTTTAAGGCAAATTATAAAACTCTAATGGAATGAATAAAAACTAAACAGAGTAGAAGTCCTGAACCTGAGCAGAAAAACAAAAACTGATGACATAGATTCAAAGCAATATTATTTTAAAAAATCTTAAAGACCTCCAAGTAAATCTGAGAGGCTAGATGGTCAAGAATTCCACCTCCCCTCAAAAACAGCCTTGCTCTACCAGACTCTGCCCTCTCAAAAAGTCACAACACTTACAGTCACCTGGTGTATGTATTTACAAATAAAACAATCATAAAAAATTCAATGTCTAAAACGTGAGAAATGACAACAGGAAAAAGAACCACTACTATGTTTTAGAACATACTTATGGAAAAATTAACTTAAACCTCACACTTTGGGTTTTAGTATGTTCCAAATGAGTCAGAGAACACAGAAAAGCATAAGAAAAAATTAAAAAATTATCTCAACTGCTAAAGAAATGACACAGTGGCTACACCGATGGGCTCACGCATAGCCGTGACCGTGAGGACGGTGCAGGACCGGGCAGTACTTCGTTCTGCTGTACAGAGGGTCGCCAGGAGTCGGAGCCTTCGTCTGACAACAACTGAAGCAAAGGAAAACGCCAGAAAGAATGGAGGGGTGACTCCAGCACAGGAACTTAACAAAGGCCTTTCCGCCAATGAATTATTAACTACTATAGGTTTCTCTCTTAGGAGGCAATTTAAAGCCCAATTCTTTTAAGTCTTGATATCCACTTTTTTTAAATTTTCTGAAACAAAGGAGTTTTATTAAAGTAGTCCCAGACATAATTGTCAGCTCTTAAAACTCAAGAAAAAATCCAAAGCCAGTATCTTAAAATAAAAATGCTATTATGTAAGAGTTTCAACAAACACAACTTTTCTCTTTTTCAATACTTACTCAGTATGAGAAAGTTTTATTTCTTCCCTTTGTTTAGCAGAATAATTTAGGTTCCCACCTAAAACACAAACCAGCATGGAATCTTTTCAACATAAGCATTATAAGTGTAAAATTCACAGACACAAACATTTGCATGTTTGCTGTTTATCGCTGAGTCGATTCCAACTCACAGATAAACCCTACAGGACAGAGGAGAGCTGCCCCATAGGGTTTCCTACGCTATAACCTTTACAGGAGCAGATGACCAGGTGTTTTCTCCTGCAGAGCCACTGGTGGGTTCGAACTGCCAACCTTTCAGTTAGCAGCTGAGTGCTTAACATTGCGCCACCAGGGCTCCTTACACGTTTGCATAGATACACCTTATTTTAAGTAACAAAAAAGCTATGCAGGATGAAAAAGAACTGGTTTACCTACTGGAACTTTCCCAAAGGAAGAAAATGATTTTAAGAATCCATACGTGATAAAAATAATTGCCCCTTATTTTTAGCTACTTTTTTTTAAGTTTTGACTTATATATTGCTTCTGGTTTTGTTGACACTGAATTAATGTTCAACAACAGTGGAAATTAAAGGAAGTGACCTAAAATTACTTAAACGGCACCTGTGTTACATCCTGATAAGCATACAACAGGATCCCTATGTAGCACAGTCAAGCTCTCAACTACCAGCTGGAAGGCTGGCGGTTCAACCCCACCCAGAGGCCCCTGGGAAGACAGGCCTGGTCATCTGCTTCTGAAAGATCACGGTCTTAAAAACTCTACGGAGCAGTTCTACCCTGCACACGTGGGGCTGCCATGAGTCAGAATCCACTTGAAGCCAACTGACGACAAGTATATAACACCTTTTGGAGCAAAACTGAAAACGCCAACATCCTAACTTTATAAAGAACAAAGAAACAAGCGTCGATGCGTTTACGGATGAGCAAAAGAAAAAGAATCTAATTTCTAGCTCTGAACGAAACACTTTCAACCTTAAAATGCAAACTGCTGCTATAAACTTGCTTCTAATTTTTTAAAAATAATAACAAGAGGGACTTTAGATACACTAGGTTATGAAAACAGTGCCGTATTTCTTTACCACACTGTAAAGGCAACACAAAAATATTAAATTACAAAACTTATATACTGAACCGGTCAGAAGGGAGAGGACCAGCTTGAATAAAGGTGTAGGCCCAGTACACGTGATCGTACGTGACATGATTAGACGTGTTCCCATCACTGTGAATGACTGTCCCCGTTACAGGAGCTAAGGCACTGGACTCCGGAGGTGTACAGACAACCCAGGGTCTCCACAGATGAGCCACTGGGGTTTGAGAAGAGAATATCAGAACCTGTACTTACCTCGGGCACGATTCACCAAATAGAGTAAGACCACAGATAAAAGTGACACTAGGAATGAAAAAAACACAGGGCCCTTAAAAATATGTGCTTCTCCTCAATGATTCCTATGTAATCTAATTACAAAGTGAAGCTCAGACACAGCCAAACCTTTACTAACTGGCATTTAAAATAAAAACACTCTTCACGTTATTTTTATTTTCAAAAAGCATTAAAAATAAGTGACAACCCACATCCTCCATGGGCTACTTGGGACTGGGGGCGGCAGGGCCAGCAACGGAGACGCTGAGACCCTCCAGGAGGGAGCAGACCGACCACGGGCCACCCCGCCGCTCTCCCCTCTGTAAGCGCTGCTCCTTCTCGGCACGGCCCTAACCGCTGCCAGCCCCACACTGTCCACTGTCTACAGGAAACCAAACAGAAGTAAAGTAGCCCTTTAGGGGTTTTAGGTTTGAAAACACCACGTCCATCTTTACATTAAGCAACCGGACATCAGAACATGACCATCAGACACCAGAGCCCCAGGGCCAGGAAACAGCTCAGGAGGCCAGGCGCTGGGCTTCTGCCTTTAAGCGAGGCACACTGTTTACCTCCCACCAACACGGCAACAAACACATTTATAAAGCGCACGGTGTTCGGTTTCAGAACCAAATATATTCTGAACTGTGAACTGGAATTAAGCCACATGTTGCAATACAAGAAAGTAGACAAAAACCAAACACTTCCATGACCTCATATTTTCAACTCTTATATAATCTGCTTTTAGAAAACAAACTGTGTATTTTTAAATGTACTTTTAAATGTACTTTAAATGTACTTTTGATGTACTTGCTTATAAAATCCGATTTCAAGTATAGTCTCTATTCCCTATAAATGAAAATCAAGGTTGATAAAATTATCACTGTCATTAGTATCTTACATGTGTTACTCAAGTGTAAAAGACATCCTGATACATGAGAATTTTTTTCAAATGAACACAATCTACGTGTATGGTGAAGATTATTTTTGGAAAGCTGTTATTTTATTTTTATACTGTTTCAATAGTTTCCTAATGCTTCCTATTTTTAAGCAACGGACCATTACAAGTAAGTGTTAAATAACAGACCTAATAATAAAAGCAATTTTAAGATGCCTAATAAACCGTGAGCACACACAGGTAAATAACACCAATGTCCATACATCCCCAGTGAGGACTGGCTCAGGACTCCTCATACAGGTCCATTTTAAAGGGGAAAATATTTCATAAAAACCATAAATATTTAAAACAGGCTATGAAGCAGATTCCCTTGCTGCCTTTCCAGACTAGGATCTCCTGAAAAATGTTTGTGAATTCTCAGAGGTCTAGAAAGCCAATCCACAGGGCAAGAATCAGGCAACTCTGAGAGATCTGTCTTAAGATGTGGCTGAACAGGGTGGAACAAAGAACAATTAACGACAAACACCTGAAAGTAAAGATGAGCACACTCCACTACATAGTCAAAGCGATCACGCCACATGGCATGCTTACCAGAAACACAGGCAATGAAGAAAACTTCTAGAAACAAATATCCCCGAGTATCCAGTATTACGCCAGCAATGATGGAAACAATCGCCAGCCCCAGGTTCTGGATGGACTGCATGCTGCAATCAGACACACAGAACACGTTTCACTTTCAAAAGTCTTCACACACAGGCTTTACGATAGAGACTAGTCATCTGCAAACCACATACTATTAGTACCTTTCTTATGACTTTCTCCTAATAAGTAGCATTCTAATGTGATTGTTGAGGAAACTCAGATTTTTAAACAACCAGTCTAGACCGCAACTCTATGCTACCTGAGCTCAAAGGCAGGGGCTGCATATTATCAGTTTCCAGAAAGAAGCCCAGTTCCTGACACCAAAGAGGCACTCAGATAACATATGCAGCTTTAAGAAATAAGAAAATGCACGGGTTCAGTAAAATAATCTCCCCAAATTATGCAGGAGTTCCTGAGATCAGTTCCCAAATCTAACATTCGCCTCAGCCTCCAACGTTGCCTGTTAATTAAGAAGTTGTGTATGCATGACTGCATGTATACGCATAAATTGATGAAATTAGACCCAAATTTTAGGTAAATGATCAGAGACTCAAACTGAAGAATTGCTACAGTTGACCACTTAACTCTCCAAAAAAGGCAGACAGTATAAATTATCAGAACACAACTAGAGATTCTGGAATTTTTTTAAAAAGCTTTATTTAAAAAACTTGGCCTTCAGTGGAATACAAGCCCCGAGAACTAGCTAAACCTGCACGAGAACATCAAAGCAGAGTTAGGACCAAGTCTCCGCGTTTCGACTGTAACCAGGGACAAAAGAGCCGTCTCTCTGACAGTGACAGGACCGTCAGGTTAAGAGCTGCGTTTTAGACTGCGTTTCCCAGATTGCACTTCTGGAAACTAGGAAACTTCAAATACGAAAAACAAAACTTCAACTATAAGGGAACAAGGATATAATGACAGGACTATCGTTTTCTAAAGCTATATGTTATCTGGCAGAATTTAAACGCTTTAAACAATTTTCTTAATATAGTCTTCATTTTTTGGCCATAAAAAAAAAAAAAATGGACCACATGAAAGAGTTTACCTTTCGAGCTGATGACCCAGGGTCCTGATATTCTCAGTTCCAGGCAAGCAGAAGATGTGTATTTCAGACTGAACACAATCAACCTGCTTAGCTCCTTGGGAGCCCGATCTCGGCGGGAGTCAGCGGAGACTGCTCCTCCCACCACGCATCCCGAAGGTGCGTGCCGGCCCCTATCACCACTCCCCAGTCTTCATGCATGCCCTTTCCACTCCCACCAGGAGAACCAGCACAGACGCCCACCTGGACGCCCTGCCACCAGTGCTTCTCTACCTATCGTGTTTAAAATCCCAAATTAATCGAGTTATTCCTGGAGGAAAACAATTCTTACCTCCTTCTCTGGCCCCACCCACCTTCTCTCTCCAGCTCCACCCATCACCACCTCCCTGGATCCCCAATCACTGCCGGTTACGAGGCTGAGCCCGTCCACGCTGCAGGAGTTCTGCTGTTCCCTCCACCCATGCTTCCCCACCTGTCTCCTGCCCCTCACCTGTGGGGCAACTCCTATCCATCTTTCCACCTCAGCTGCTTCTGCTGCAAAGCGCTCCTGGGCCCTGGGCAGGCGGTCACATCCTTGTGTTCACACCTCTCTTACTCCATGACTGTCTCCGCTACCAGCCTGTACGCTTAAACGCAGGGGCCCTGTCTCATTCCATGCGGTACGCACCCAACGCCCTCCTGCTGAACACCGACCTTCTGCCTTTGGGGCAGAAACCTGATCTCAACGTCTCCGAGAAGCTCTCAGGTGAACAGGCGGTGGGACTGTGATGTCAGCAATTAGCTCTTATGGTTTTGGCCCAGGAATGCAGCCAGCTCTCTTGCTGAAGCTTAGAGCCCTTTGTTGCCACAACCATATCTTAAATAGATGAACGGATCTTTCCAGGTTCAGAGCTGGGCCCAGACCTGAAGATGACTAGATTCTGGAGACCTGAAGCTTTAACTGATTAACTTCACTGACACAGCAGAGAAAGACATTATCTGATCCACGGTGCAGATACTCACAAGCCATAGGCGGTCCCCAGCTGATGTTCAGGAACCACGTAAGCCACCATTGGCCACAACGCACAGGCAAGCAACGAATAGGAGACGCCCATGAGACACTGGACAATACAGGAAGGGGCACAAAAACAAAAGTCTTGTATTAGCCAGTCGGTGACTTTCCTCTGATGCAGGTTAACAAGAGTGGCATAATAGCAAATATCTGATTATTCGTGCCAGTTTTATTACCATTAGGCTAAATCTCCCATTCACAATACACGAAGTGGTCCTGGCCCTCTCTACAAGCGTGCCTGTAGTGACAGACCCACACAGTGCCTCGACCACCTTCACCTGTCGGTGCATTACACGCATCTACAACTGGCCGGGGTCCAGGTGCAGGCAAGGCCAAGCACGGTCATAAAGCTACTCTGCGGGAAGTTATTACCCAGGTTTCAGGAAAGCTGATCCTCCCAGTATTTACTAGGAATTGCAAATCAGGCGGCCAAGGCAACATCATGCCAATAACCCCCATCCTACATCTAGGTCATCGATACTTAACGAGAGAGCAGGGCAGAGAGCCAACAACAGCCAACTACTGTCAAACGTCACCTAATGCTGTCTTTTTCTTCAATTAAAAAAAAAAAAAAAAACGCCTTTCTTTTAAAGTAATGTATCATTTACAGCTATCATATTGGCAAAAATTAAAATATTGCCAATGCCCAATACTGGCAAGGATACTCAGAAGCAGATACATCTGTACTGGTTAAGGGCTCAGAAGCAGATACATCTGTACTGGTTAGGAGCTCGGCTGCTAATGAACAGGTTGGCAGCTGCATCCCTGGAAACCCCACGGGGCAGTTCTCCTCTGTCCTAGAGAGTCACTACAAGTTGGAATCGACTCGATGGCAATGGGTTTTTATAAATAATGTACAATTATCAGAGGAGCAGTCTCACAGATCCGTTAAGTGTTGATGCGCGTGGGCTTTGCTGCAGCATTTCTACTTCTCAGGATTTGTCCTACAGAAATTCTCACCAAACGCACCAACACTGTGTTCAAAGCTGTGTCTATTTAACAGGTACGAAACGCAGCGCTTCAGCCTGTGGTCTAGAAAACACTCTGACCCACACAAACTAGATTAATTCATTACCATTTTTGATCTACTAAGAGCCAAAGAATGCAAAATCCTGGATATTGGGTTGATTTTTTTAAAAAAATCTATCACATACTGGCTTCTTTTTAATGCAATGCAAACGGAAAAATGAAACTAATAAGCATTTAGGCCTTTATAAGACTATTGTAAATTTTATTTCAGGTTGGAGATTACCCTAAGTAAGCCAAATGAGATTAAAAAAAAACTTAAGCCTTAATAATTTAAATTTATACTTTTAAAATAATTATTGTACAGAAATTAAAATCAATGGCTGTCTTCCCCACTGCCATAAGCACTGCCATCAGAGTGTGCTGACGTGCCCTGACATGCCCTGGCGTGGACTTCACAGCGTCCTGACACCTGAGACATCAACGTGTACATTACCATAGCAATCCAGGGGTTCCACAGCGTGAAGGCCAACATCATGTGGGAAACAAGAGTGGTGGCCACTGCACACAGAACCCAGACGATGTTCTTTCCTGTTTTATCCACCAGAAACCCAAATACTGGGGCCATGGGAGCAGATATGACATACACCACACTGCCCAGAGAACAGATGAGACACTCAGTGAAATGCAACATAGATAAAGTCCCTACAAAACACTAGGCAAAGCAAACTCACTTAATGGAACATTCTACAGTGCTCTCCCTTCCCAATCATCAGTAAAGATACATATAAAATATAAAGGCGAATACAAGATCTCTTTGGTTTTCCATTAATGCAAAGACAGTCAGGATTCAAGCCTAAAACAGTCTTGGATTTCATTCACAGCATGGATATTAAATCACATCACATCCTTTTTGCCTCTTACAACATTTGGTTATAATTAAAGACCCCACGGTGCAATAAACACTTTCAGAATGAATGAAGTACCTGTTAATCGCACTTGCTGCCTGGGAGGAAAATTTGAATTTCTCCATAAAGAAAACTCTAGAATTGAAAAAAGAGAGAGAGGAGTACTTGAGAGGGAACTACTGTGTTTTCACGCAAATAACGCGCACATTACACATTCTTTTCAACTGCGCAAATCCCCTTCACTATTTCTGTAAGCGAGCTACGCCGTGTGCATGTGCGTGCATGCATGCGTGTGTGTGGGTGCGTGTTATCTGCAGAAATACGGTACTCTGTTTTCGAAATTAAAGGCAAAATAAAAATAATTCCAAGTTGAATAAACGTTTCTTTCCTGACATCGTTTTTCCATCTTTTGATATTCATTTTCAAGCAACCTGCTAAACCTTGGATATTTGTGTAAATACTTCCCTAACTGAATAAAACACACTGACGCCTATTTTTTCTCTTCTTCTTCTGTAACAAGCAATACACACAAATTTTCATAAAACTAATGTATTACTACAGAGAATTAAGACTTGCTTATTTTCCTTCAAAGAAACACTGGATAGGTTATCTCTAAGTAACAAATAGGGTTATTTTCTCAAATTATTTAAAATTCTAAGCTGAATTTAAAGGTTCCTGGTGCAAAGATGCACCCCTACAAACACACTTACACATACTGTTCTGTTTAAGCAGCTGGCAGTGAAAATGAAGAGAGAATGAAAAGATAGAGCTTTGAACCTCGAATCTGAGTCTGGCGTCCTAGTACCTGGAGATGCCCCCACAACACACACCCACCCCCTTCACAGGTCAGTGTGTGAGGTTCTGTCTCCATTCTACACGAGGCTCCCTAATCAAGGAGTAAAGAGTAAATGAAAAAAAATACTAGTCTAAAATCGACTACTGGAACAAATCGATATTACGACTCAAAAAACCACTAGGCATTTCTTCAAAAGAGTAATGAAAGTATCACACGAACACCAAACCTTAAGTTAGGAAGATGAGTTGTACCCCAGGATGAAAAGCAATCTCTCTGTAAATATAAAGTACATCCAGAGAAGCCTGATACACTGCTAAAAATACACTGCACATAACATTGCATTTATGTGACTGAGCTCGGCTAATTCAGCCAATAAACACGCAATAACAGAATACTCACTTCCCGAGTCCAATAAAAGGAAACACGGCCACGTAATAGCCGACACAGATGACAAATACGAGCCACAGGGGTAAGGAGAAGTCCTTCACATCACTGAGCTTAATAACTTCACCTTATGGAGGAAAGGGGAGATACTATCAGCATAATTTTACATATCTAAGGGGCTTTCATCTAGTTAAGAATTTTTTTTTTCCATGGGATTAACTTTTGCAATTCAGTTTAAAAAAATTATCTTTCTCTGTAAATTACTGAAACACAGTTACTGGAATAACTGAAAAATACATGAGCTCCTATACCTCAACAACAAAAAGTCTAACAATTCAACTAAAAAATGGGCAAAGGACTTGAAGAGACATCTCTCCAAAGAAGAAATACAAACGGCCAAGAAGCACATAAAGAGATGCTCGATGTCTCTAATCATTAGGGAATTACAAATCAGAATCACAATGAAATGTATTCGCCATAGTTTTACAACAATAAAAATAAATAAAAACTTTTAAAGAAAAAAAGAAACCAACAATGAGATACCACTTCATACCCACAATGATGGCTATTATCAGAAAAATGGAAAATAACAAGTGTTTGTGAGGGTGTGGGGAAATCGGAACCCCCGTGCACCGTGACGGTGTGGGCAAGTCGGAACCCCCGTGCACCGTGACGGTGTGGGCAAGTCGGAACCCTTGTCCGCCGTGAGGGTGTGGGGAAGTCGGAACCCCCGTGCACCGTGACGGTGTGGGGAAGTCGGAACCCTTGTGCACCGTGAGGGGGGGGGAACCCCTGTGCACCGTGACGGTGTGGGGAAGTCGGAACCCTTGTGCACCGTGAGGGCGTGGGGGAGTCGGAACCCCTGTGCACCGTGAGGGTGTGGGGAAATCAGAACCCTTGTGCATTGCTAGAGGGGATGTAAACAATTCCTCAGAAAGCTAAATGCAGAGTCACAATATGATCCAGCAATTCCACTCCTGAAATAATCTCCCGAAAGAACTGAAAGCAGGGGCTAAAACAGATACTTGAGCACCAATGTTCATTGCAACATTATCTCCAATACCCAAAACGGAGAAAAAACCCAAGGATCCATCAACGGAAGAATGGACAAACATAATGTGATATATACACACGATGGAGTACTACTCGTCCATAAAGAGAAACGAAGTGCTGCCATGTGCTACGACATGGATGGATCTTGAACACATGACGCTGAATAAATCAGACACAATTCCACTTACGTAAAATACCTACAACAGGCAAATTTAGACAGACAAAAAAATTATTAGTGGTTACCAAGGGCTGGCGAGGGGAAAACGGGGAGTACTGTAAGCAGCATGCGCTCCCTTAGGGTGACGATAAATGTTTGGAAATGGATGGCGGTAATGGCTGCACAACACGGTGAACGCTGTTAACGTCACTCGGTTCACACGTAAAATGGTCAGGATGGCAAATGTTTTGTTACGTATATTCACCACAGCGAAATTTAAAAGAATACACTAGCAAAAGTAAAACTACAGTTTTATACCTACCCCTCCCAGGAAAAATAGCCACTGTGCAAATATACAACTCTGAATGATACTGATATTGCCACTCACACTGAAGAAAGAAAAAATGTACCCGCAAATTAAGACAACTTGAAATAGAATCTGCAAATAAAAGAGAAAAAACTATGTACGAAGTCCCCACTGGGTTTACAACCTTGCATTAGAAACTCACCTCACTGTAAACCACCTCAGAAGCCCGTAATTCCCCAGTATACTTCATTTTTACTTTTATGTTTAAGTCTAGACCCACCTGTTTTTCCTTGTTCTTTATGAAGGATTCTTTCTGCTCTCCGATCCAAGTAAGCAAGGGCCAAGGCACAGATGAGGGAAAGAATACATGTTATACCTCCTGTAATTAAAAGAAAGAATCAGACAGAAGGTCTCCACAGGGCAGCACGTGACATAAACGCAGAAAACTGGGCAACTGAACGGGACGGTATCTAAAGACATGCAGGAAACGCCCACGGCTGGACGCAGAGGGAGGCGGGAAGAACGCGTGGTGAGCGCTCCGATGGCAGGCACTGTTAATGAGAGAAGGCTGCGGAATGAAGACAAAAGACAAGCGCAAACCAGTCTAGTCCCGTGACGCAGACACAGGCTGAGAAAAGCTGATGACAGGCTGAGAAATTAGTCCTCGTTTCCACCGACGGCGTTTCTAGGCACCGATTATCCAAGGAGGCCAGGGAAAAGACTGAACAAGCAGTCCGATTCTGTAAGCACCCCACCCCCTCTACTCCATGCCCAAGTCTGTAACCTTTGCGCCTACCTCTGCAGCCCTGGGAGCCCATCCTGGCGTGGACTGGCTCTCAGCCTCTCTCTTTCCTGAGTATTCAGCATTACTCACTAATGATGATCTCATACCACTAAAGTAAACCACAATGAAGAGTGAATAAATCTACCCTTCTCAGGAACTTGTCAAGCAAGGCTATAAATGGATCTTGAAGCAGAAGACCTAATACGGCCCAGACGAAAAATTACTGACCAGGGTCAGTAGATACGGGTTCTAGTTCTGGCACCACCAAGCCGAGTGACCTTGGGCACAGAACCTAGCCTCTCTGGACTTCAATATTCCCATCTGTAAAATAAGAGACTTTGATTTGCTGACAGCCCAGATATTCCCCTGGCTCTAAAATTCTAAAGTTCTCCATTGTGCAGGGAACTGGTTGGAATACGGAGAAGCATCTGAGAGTGAAGGAGGTGGTTTTACGTAAGGTAAAGGACTTGAGGAGAAGGAGGAAAGCAGGAGTCTTTAGGTACAAGTTTGCCTTTTTAGGATTACTTTTCCACTGTCTTCTTTCCACTACGCTGTATCAAGGGATTACAGGGAACAAAACCAACCCCACTGCCGTAGAGTCAATTCCGACTCATAGCAACCCTACAGGACAGAATTACCCCACAGAGTTTCCAAGGCTGTAAATCTTTATAGAAGCAGACTGCCACATCTTTCTTCCTCGGAGCGGCTGGTGGGTTCAAACTTCCGAACTTTTTGGTTAGCAGCCAAGAGCTTTAACCACTGTGCCACCAGGGCTCCTATAGGAAACAACCAAACCAACCCCGTCGTCGTCAAGTTGATTCTGACTCACTGCAACCCTCTAGAACAGAGCAGAACCTCCCCATAGGGTTCCCAAGGAGCAGCTGGTGGACTCAAACTGTGGACATTTTGGTTAGCAGCTGGAGCTCTTAACCACTGTGCCACCAGGGCTTCACAGGGAACACAGGATATGTAAATCCTGGGCCCAGAGCTTTCACCCCATCACCCCAGGTCTTCCTACGGCTCTGCAGAAAGCTGTTTACACACTGGGGCTGTCAGACAGGTTCACCACTCAGAGAAAAAGCAGGGGTGGTGAATCCAGAGGTCTGCATCCATCTCTCAGTGACCCACCCAGCACCTGGTACAACGGAGCCTTAGCTAAGAGAACTTAGGGACAGAAGGCACCTATGCAGGCTGTGGCCAAACAGCCTCCATTTTACAGAGAGAAACCCGAAACCGAGTAAGGCTCACTTCCTCGTCGGAGATCACAGAACCAGTTAGAGCCACGACTAGCACCCAGGCTCCTGACGCCCCGGTTAGTGGACATTCCATCATATCCCATCTCCTCTGACTTCCACAAAATCCAGGCGCTATATACCTACTGACTGAAAAGGACCAACAGGAAAACAACCCAATGTCTGCTAGAGCTCATTAATTTACATTTGTCAATTCCCAGAGTGTTCTCAAAGAGTGTTCACATACACTATCCCATCTGCTCATCACAACAACGCCGAAGCAGACAGGCAGACTAAGAACCGCCATTTTAAGAAAGCGGAAATTAAAACACACGATAGGGTGAATGATTTGCTATTTCTAGTTAAGTCAAAGCGCTAGTGAGCTGGGGAGCCAAACTCGAATGAAGTGACCCAGCACAGATGCCAGCGTTCTGTCCACTCTGCCACCGTGCTTCCAGTGCCGCGCTTCCACAAGACGGGAGACGCGGGCCGTCAGGACTCACTCACCGATCATAAGTGTGACTCCCAGGGTTGTGTGACCGGCAGAGCCCAGCGAAGCTTCCACCTTAGAATACAGCCATCCCATGAGGTTCATGTTGACCGTACTCCCCTGACAGAGAGGAAGCAAGTCAACAGAATGTTCAATCACTTATACCTTTGCTTTGTTCAAAAAAAGGATCTGAGGTGACTTAGAAAAAACATGCATAGGGTCCCCTTTAAACAGCAGGTAATTTTTTGTTTTTAAACCACTACACGGAAAAAGGAGCCCTGGTGGTGCAGTGGTTAAGTGCTCAGCTGCTCACCAAAAGGTCAGCAGTTCAAATCCACCAGCTGCTCCTTGGAAACCTGACAGGGCAGTTCTACTCTGTCCTACAGGGTCGCTATGAGTCGGAATTGACTCAACAGCAACGGTTTTATAAGGGAAAAACTAGCAAACAGATAAAGCGGCAGATAAGGTTATTACACAAAAATGCCAACTTGCAGAATATACTAGTACACAAAACAGCGTACGTTTAGAACTTCCTAGAGTCAAAAAAAGGAAACACAATGAGTTACAAAATTCGCAGGGTACCTAAGACAAAAACATGCCATTAACTCAGAAAAGCAGTTTATCCTGGTACTGAGACCTGAAAGAAATTCTTCATCTAAAGAAAAGAGTGGAAATCATGGTAGACAATATCCTCATTCATTTTTATATTCATTCAGCAAAATGCATGCTGGTCACTGTTCTAGGTATTGGGACTATAACAGTGGTGCAGTGGTTAAAGCGCATGGCTGCTAACTGAAAGGTCGATGGTGGTCTGAACCCACGAGCCACTCTACAGGAGAAAGATGTGGCAATCTGCTTCGGTAAAGATGACAGCCTTGGAAACCCGATGGGGCAGTTCTACTCTGTCCTACAGGGCTCTATAAGTTGGAATCAACTCCACAGCAATGGGGTTTGGTTTGGTTATCACAGACCCGTCACTGTTCCAGGTTTTGGGACTATAATAAAGAACAAAACAGAAACATTCCCAGCTCTCACAGAGTTCACATTTTACTGGGGTAAAGGAAGTAAAATACATAGTATATTAAACAGTGAGAAATGTTTTAAAAAGAAAAAATAAATAAATTAGAGAAGGAGACTATAAAATTGGGGATCGATCCTCTCAGATCCCACAGACAGAGATATAACTTCACTGGGAGGATAACGTGGAAATGCGTCTCAACAAACCCTAACAAATCCTCTGACTCAATCATTTCATTTCTAGGAGCTTAGCCTAAGGAAACAATCAGAAATACAGACAAGTTTTACAGAGAAAGCATCTTACTACAGCACTATTCATAGCAGTGAAAAATAAAAAATAACAACCTAAGTGTAGAAAAACAGAGTATACTGATGTTAAAAATCAACCTGTCAAAAACTAATAAATAGCATGAATACGTTTCTAACCCACTCCTGGGTAAGACAAAAACAAGGGTAAAGAGGGTCACACTGAGGGCTCGAACAGATACTTCTCCAAAGAAGAGAGGTGCACAATAAGCACACGTCCAACATCACCAGCCAGGAAAATGCAAATCACCACACCGACGGGATACGCATCACACCCACGAGGATGGCTATTACCAGAAACACGGAAAATAACAAGTGTTGGCAAGAATACGGAGAAACTGGAACCCTCGTCCATTGCCAGTTGGAATGTAAAATGGTGCCCCCGCTGTGGAACACAGTTTGGCGGCTCCTCCAGAAGTTAAAAAGAATCACCCCACGACCCAGCAACTCCAGTCCTAGGTACGTACCCAAAGCAGGGACTCACCAATGTTCACTGCAGCATTATTTACAACAGTCAAAACAAAGGGAAAAAACCCAAGTACCCAGCTACAGATGAATGGATGAACAAAGTGTGGCACATCCATACAATGGAGTATCATTCAGTCACAAAGAGAAAGGAAGTTCTGATACCTGCTACAACATGGATGAACCCTGAGAACACTACGCTGAGGGAAGTAAGTCAGACACGTAAGGACAGAGTCTGTGACCCCACTTGTATGAACTACCTAGAATAGGCAAATCCAGCGAGATAGAAGGGTATTAGTGGCCCCAGGGGCTGTGGGGGGGAAGCAGGGAGTTACTGCTTCAGGGGGACTGAGTTCTTGTTCAGGGTGATGAAAAATGTCTGCAAATGGAGAGTGGTGATGGTACCACAGCATGGTGAATTAATGCCACTCAATTTACACTTAAAAATGGTTAAAATGGCAAACGTCTTGTTATACACACTTTACCACAATTTTTTTTTAAAAGAATTATAGTTGCCATTAATCTTTGAAAACTTTTTTTTTTTTTTTAAACAAGGATATTTGCTACAGTGTTAACAGTGAAGATTTGGGGGAATGGAGGATTAAATGTTAAGATTTGAGAGCTGGGTGGTGGATACACAGGTCTTCATTATTGTATTAGTTTTCTATTGTTGCTTTACCAAACCACCACAGACTTAGCGGTTCAGAACACCACAAACTTATTATCTCACGGTTCTAGAGTTCGGAAGTCTGATCCAGGTCTCACTGGGCTACAGCCAAGGCTTTGGCAAAGCTGCGTTCCTTGCTGGGGGCTTTAGGAAGTCTGTTTCCTTGCCTTTTCCAGCTTCTAGAGGCTGCCTGCACTCCTTGCCTTGTGGCGTCTTCCTCCAACCTCAATGCCAGCAACACAGCATGAAGACTTGATTTTTAATGGCAAGGACGAAAAAAGCATTCTATTCGTGGGAATTTATGAGGGAAAAAACTAACAGAATTTGGAACTGCGAAAACACCTCACAGGTTACGTTAATAATGGCACACTGCTGTTCCCTGGGTGCCACGCCCATTTCTGGCTTCCAAACGCGAGGCGGGGTACTGGCCTGCGGAAGTGTGTCCAGAGAGGCACGAGCACCACGGCGAAGGAGCCAGAAACCACGTCCAGTGGCTTCACAACTACAGGAGATGAGCGGGTCTACAGCCAAGAACTCTGGGGCCCTGGTGGCACAGTGGTTAAGGGCTGGCTGCTAGCCAAAAGGTCAGCAATTCAAATCCACCAGCCGCTCCTCGGAAACCCTACAGGGCAGTTCTACTCTGTCCTATAGGGTCGCTGTGAGTTGCAATTGACTCGAGGGCCACAGGAAAACCAAGAACTCAGAGAACTGTCTTCATCTAAGTAAAGCATTGTCACAGGAAGAGAAGATAAACGTCACTGCAGAGGGCAAAGCCAAGAGCGATCATTAAAAGCTACATCAAGGTAGATTTCATCTCTGTATGAGGTTGAGCTTCAGAAAGCTGCAGCTAAACAAGTCGACGGGCTGCCTCATCAGAGAGCAAACACCTCCCGATGAGGAAATGAACAAGCAGAGCCTGGATGACCACACGTGAAGACTTCTGTAGCAGGGACACCAAAAACGGGAAAGAATTAGGCAACAAAACCTACAGGATCCCGTCCGAAGCGCAGCTTCTCTGAACTAACAAGCGTTCTGTTAGCCATTGAACTGTTCCCTAACTGGAAAAGGCTGAAACTGCCTTACAGTAAGGTAAATGCTATATTTCAGAGAAATACATAAAACATCAACACCTCAGTTCCTACACACACACTCTATCCTGTGATTTTTAAGAGATAACTCCAAGAGTCAATCTTTTGCTCCTATTTGGTTTCAGTATATTTGTCAGCATACTTACAATTCTAGCCATGCTAAGTTGGAGTCCAAACACCAGGTTTAATTCTTTGCCTTTAAACCAGCTCACAGCATAGGTATTCTGGGCCACTGCTAAGGACTCCCCGCCAGTTCTACAAACGAAGAGGAAAGGAAACGTCACAGCTTTTAAATAAATACCGTAGTTAAAGGAAAAGTCACAGCTTTTAAATAAAAAACATAGTTAAAGGAAAAGTCACAGCTTTTAAATAAATACCATAGTTAAAGTCATAGCTTTTCAAAAACAAAAAAACAGAAACAAAGCATAGTTAAGTGGGTTTAAAACATGGTTCCAAAATTTTTTAACGGTCCTCTTATCAAGGGGTATGGCCTATATCCCCCCACCCCCGCCTTAAAACTAGGTGGCCGTCAACCAGTAGGTATGGTAGAAGCAATGCTGTGTGATTTCATGGGTATACAAGGGCGTACGCCTTTGGCTCCAACACCGCACTTGGAGCCCTGAGCCACCCTGTAAGAACACCAACTAGCCTGAGGTTGCCATGCTATGAGAAAGCCAAGCCCACGTTTATGTGCTCCAGTCAGCTGTCCTCGTCTTCAAGTCATCGAAGTCCAGGCGCCAGACATGTGCATCAACAAGCCTTCAGATGATGCCAGCCCAGCCTTCAGTGAGTCTTTCCAGCTGAGGCCCCAGACACCACCAGGCCCTGTCCAAATACACACCCTGTCCAAATGGCTGACCCACAAAGCCCATGAGCACAATGAATGGTTATCTTATACTAAGTTTTGGGGTGATTTGATAAGCCTTAACAGTTAACTGTCATGGCGACCCCATGTGTGCAGAGTAGATCTACTCCACAGAGTTCTCAAGGCTGTGACCTTTCAGAAGCAGACCGTCAGGCCTTTCTTTCAAGGCGCCTCTGGGTGGGTTCAAAGCACCAACCTTTCAGTTAGTAGTCAAGCGCTTAACTGTTGGTGCCACCCGGGTCCCCAGGAGTCAGAGTCGACTCAATGGCAACTGGTGGTGGTGGTAATAGTAACCGCTGACAGCCAATACGGGGAGCCTGGCTTGCTCTCGGAAAACACAAATCTACACTTTTCAGACTCACAAGCTCTCCGTCAGTCATCCCCCAATTCCTTCCATACCTTATGTTCTCTTACCTCCTGGGTTTTAACCTTCCTTCAGTCAGTTTCACGTACTCACCGTTGCCCCCTCCAAGCTTCCAGTCAGGATCTTCCCCTCCTCTATATCCTAACACTGACGCCTCTTCACCACTCTCCTGGTTAAAAAACATCTTCCTGCTCTTCTCCTGATCTGACTCCTACACCTCCACCAAGGCTACTTCGTCCATGAGGCTGTTTCTGACCACCCTTCCTTCTCTGAATTCCTTTCGGATTTTCGTACACATTTTGATTCCTTCTCTCTTATTTAGCAGTCTCTTTGGGTATGTCACATATGTCCCCATGCCCCAGGCACCTGTGGGAAGCGTGAATAAGCTATGCTTTTAAGTTAAAGCTTGAATCAGTTATGCCGTGTAATCCCTCAGAGCAGTAACCTGAGGCTGGACTCACTGCACTTACTGAACAGACACTGCCACCCACAGAGAGCAATCAGCCTATGGGTACTGTGCTCACACAAGCCTCCTGAACAGGGTCCAAAACAGACCTGCACATCACCCACTAAAAACAGTGAAATGTCCATGAATTACCAACTCACACCTGATGGTCTACACATTTTTAAATGAGATTTAAATCCTGTTCTTCCACACAACAAGCAAAAACTTTTAGGAAAAATATCACATTTCTGGAGAATTGTTTAATATTCAAACTCCACACAGTTAACTACAACCACTCAAAATTTTTGCTTGTTTTAAAAGAAAACTAAGAAACGTGGCTTGTGTAGATGTGGCTCGATTTCAAGGATTTAAAGTAATTCTCCAAGACAGACAATGATTTTTTTTTTTTAAAATCCTTAACGTATTGATGGATGAACTCTAAAACATGTTAGGATAAATGAAATTATGCATAACTTACCCAAATATAAACCTTCCAAATTCCATCAGCCAAAAAGCATTAAATATTCCACCCAGAGCAAAAACAACCTAAAATGCAGAATTCTGCTATCAATAACAAAGTAAATTCAAGGTATTAAAGAGAAACAATAAGTAACTTAAGATGAATCACAACCTCTACACTGATTTTAATATTCCTCCTTACTAAGTCTGTGAAATTAAAGTATTAATGTCAATCTGTCTTGAAACTTAAAATAGAATTATGCATTATACCACACGGTCATTTGTTGATCCTGCTTAATTACGGCAGGAATTCATTAAACACATCTTTGCTGGTGGAATGAGACAAGAATTCAAAAGCCACTATCACACGATCCACGAACACTGGCCTTCCTTACCTGTCCAATGCAAACAAAGCAGCTAAAAATAATGGTGCCCCATCTGTCAGAGAGAGAGAGAGAAACACACACAGAAAATGAATATGTATTAAAAGTACATTACTATTAATTCAATTACCAAGTCCTTTAGTAATATTCACTTTGATTTTTTTTTTTTTCACCCTCTGCACCCCCTCCAAGGAAAGAAAAACGAAGTGCTGGCCTGCTTCTGATGTCAGCAACTTTTCCAGTCTGAACCCTGACCTGCAGAAGTCTAGACTTAATGTGGGGATTCCAGTCTTCAGTAATGCATCTGTTAAACTAACCCACTGTCATCTCTTAAACAAGATTAAATAATCGTTAAGAAGTTCCCAGGGTCAAAACTATAAGAACAGAGAAATTCTTTATAAAACTTCTACTAATAGTTTATGATTGATTCTAAAAATTCCAGATTAAGTGATTTTAAGCAGTTATAATTCTTGACAATGAAAAACGATTTTTAAAAGAGCAAACATTAACCGTGTTAACACAGTTACAAACATGCGGAATCTAACATTCTACAATCGATATCTAATTAACACTCCCATACAGTAGTAAAGGAGCCCTAGCAGCACAGTGGTTAAGAATCAGGCTGCTAACCAAGAGGTCAGCAGTTCAAAACCACCAGTCACTCTTTGGAAACGCTATGGGGCAGTTCTACTCTGTCCTACAGGGTGGCTATGAGCGGGAATCGACTCGAGGGCAACGAGTTTGGTTTGGTTCTGTAGAGCGATAAAATGCCAGCACTAGAAGAGTTCTGAAATGTCATCTGAGCACACCATGCTTCTGAAACGCAGATCTCTCTCAAGAGCTTTGTGAAATGGCCAGACCACATTCCACTGAACTTTCTTCGGCACTGGAAAACTCACTATGGTCTCAAGGGAATTCACGTCACCTCCTGTCAATGTGATCAGGCAAAGTCTTCATACTAAGTGGAATCTGTCCCCATGACGTTTCAAGCTAATTCTATATCTTAGGACCAAGCCAAAAAAAAAAAAAAAATTTAATTCTTCCTTCATACTCTAACTCTTCAAAATGTTTTAAAGTTAGTCCCCAAGTCTAAACACTGACAGTTTCTTCAATCCTTATCCACCTGGCATGGTCTGAAGAGCCTTCATCATCTTGGTCTCTGTCTCCTGAAAACGTTCCCAGAATACACCCCTCCCACTGTCTCCCCTAACAATATACACACAGAGCTGTAAGGATGAAAAGTAACAAAGCTTGCAATGTTATTCCTTCCTCAGCATCTAAGAGAGGTGGTCACGAAAAGTTCAACACCCAAAGGCAGAAAGAGAAACTCTCATGGAGGCTGGGGAGGCACACACTACCTATGTGCCAGGTACCTCACGTCCATCCTTCATTGACTCCCTGTAACAGCATCAGGTAGGATTGTTCCCTGTACTTCACCAATGAGATGACTAACACTCAGAAAGTCACATGGCTGGAAAGCTGAGCAAGCTGCAGCCATGAGATTCAGACCCTGTCTGTCTGACCCCGAGTGTGGGCATAACCCACCTCTAGCTAACTGAGTTACGTTCTGCCATCCACATCATTCACCAGTCTTGACCTCAAGGAAACTACTTTAGGAAATGCCAATCAAGTTTCAAAAACCAGTTCCAGAGGAAAGATCATGGGGAAAAAGGGCAAAAAACAACACAGATCAGTACTGCAGTCAATACGGAAGCTTACTCGGTTCTTTCTAGAAACAGCCGTAATTTAGTTCTGTATTTTTCTAATAATCAGCTTCTACCCATAAGTAAGATTTTTTTCACGCTTACCGTATTCCAAATACTCGGTCTATCAAAAAGCCACCAAAGAAACACAAAACTACATTGGGCCAAGAATACCAGGCATACAGCAGCATGAACTTCGTGGTATTCACCTGCATGTCCTACACGGAAAGAAAAGACAACCACTGTTTTCAAACACTTAGCTTATCAACTTACAAATTACAGCACAGCAATCTAAGTGAGGAAGTGGCTGCATTCATTCTTCCTGTGCACAGCAGGGGTTTCTTAGCCATTGTAAGTCACTAACTGCTCCGAGAATCTCATGAAGGCTACGGTCCGTGCCCTAGAAAAACACACGGCCACCCACACGCCATTTCAGGGGCCTCGTGATCCCAGGCTCAGATGCCCTGTGACAGACCCCACTACATCTGCCTGTATCGTCTATATTCTTATTCCCGTTACACTACGTGTACTGGGGGGCTCCTCCCACATGGAAAAGGATACTCTTACTCCATCCTCATCCCCCTCCCAACTCCTTCCCCCCTTCCTTTTCATTCTAGAATGCAAAGGGCCAATCTACACACTTCTCCCGATCCAAAGGTAAAAAAACTATACAAATGTCATGAATTGATTTGTGTCCCCCCAAAAATGTCTGTCAACTTAACTAGGTCGTGATTCCCAGTACTGTGTGACTGTCTACCATTTTATCATCTGATGTGATCTCCTTATGTGCTGTAAACTCTATCACTATGATGTCATAAGATGGATTAATGATAGTTATATTGATGAGGTCTACAAGATTAGTGTCTTAAGCCAATCTCTTTTGAGATATAAAAGAGAGAAGTGAGCTGAGACACATGGGAACCTCATACCGCCAAGAAAACAGTACCAGGAGCAGAGCGCGTCCTCTGGACCTGAGTTTCCTGCGCTGAGATGCTCCCAAACCAAGGGAAGACTGATGCATCACAAGGACCTTCCTCCAGAGCCGACAGAGAGAGAAAGCCTTCTCCTGGAGTTGATGCCCTGAATTTGGACTTGTAGCCTACTGGACTGTGAGAGAATAAACTTGTCTTTGTTAAAGTCATCCACTCGTGGTATTTCTGCTATAGCAGCACTAGATGACGAGGACAACAAAGAAAAAAGACTATTTAAAACCCATGAGTATAAACATTAAGTATGTTTTTATAACGCAAAACGACAGCGGAACTACCGATATGGTCACTATTCTACGATCAGTATCCATCCTTTAAAAAGAAACAACAGCAGCATATTTAAGAAGTCAAAAGCTAGCCAATCCAATCCCTTTTCATTCTGGTGATGAGAAAGTGAGATGCAAACCAAAGTCTAATACGGCCAGGCAACCCTGTGGGAACAGCATCTAACTATGCACTAAGGTGGGAGACAAAGTCACCTGTGCGGTTAATAAAGTATTTGCGGCCACTCACTCCAACTAAAAGAAGGCTTCTTGTTGCTTAGTGACTTGGTGACTACAGATGTTAAAGTGGATTTAGGGGACAATGTTTCAGACTAGGCAGCCTGAGAGCTGATGATACTTCAGTGGCTAAATCTGCTCCAAAGCAAACAAAAGAAATACAGGTGAAACGTTAACTTACCCGCTGAATCTGAATCTGAAGGGCAGCAGGATTATCATAGCAAAAATAGCTACCTAGAAAAGAAAAGGTAAGAGCAAATATAAGTAATCATACTGTCCATATAAAAGTTTCAAGTTGTAATTACTATTCAAATGGAGAGTTTCAATGTTTACACTAGGGGCTGGAGGACTCACACAGTGGAAACTTTTTTGGCCCACTTCTTTATCCATCAATATTTTCTAACTTGTAGCCAAATACTAGAGAAAACATGCCAAATCATTAACAAATTCTTAGTGTGTAGATAAGTAAATTTTGGGAACCTGAATTAAGAAGTTAGTAATGAACGGTTCTTCCATTTCACCTTCATCACGCTTCACACATCTATTTTTTCAGCATCTTCATCAAGCTGCCATATACAAAAACACACGCTAAAAATTTTACAAACATCCTCAGCAGTTTCCTAATAATTTTACCTGAGTTCACTATTTAAAAGCAGAGGAACGGAGTTTAACTATTCTGACTAAATCAGAATTTGAAACAAGAGTTCCAATTCTACAAAAAAGGACACCCAAAATGAAGTAATTCAGTGAACACAAGAATGACGAAAACTAAAATGAGAATACTAGAAGATGAAATTAAAACATGATACTGTCTATCAGGAGGGATAAGAGAGAAGTGGGGAAAGGCTTGACATCATGCATGCAAATTTATTTTACACAGAATATAACTGACAGATTCTGCGGTAGGCTACACGCTAATACTGCCCCCATCTCTCCACTACGGTCGGAAACTGTATCAGAGACTACCGGGTTCAAAGGAAAAATGACCGTCATTAAACAGATACGACTCTGGCTCTGAAACCCAACAGGTAACCAGGAATCACCCAAAACAATCTGTAAGAATGAACAGGGACAGTTTTAAGTATTTTGTTGTTGTTATTCTTGTGGTGTTCTTTGGTTTGTTTCTAAACTCAGCCACTTCTGGCTCCAGCTTTAACAGTTTGTACAGGACATCCACGACCTGCTTTAAAGCTCATTATCTTTTTTAAAAAAGGGCAAAAAGCATTAAGAAATAAAGGCATCCCTCACACCTACTTACACATCCCAGCGGTACCGTAAAAAAAGGTTATCCACCTATGTCCCTAAAACTGCTTACTGCACGGGATCCAACTGCCCCCCTGAAAAACACGTTATTCCTTTCATACCAAACTGACATTAGGGGAGTTGCTGAATGACTCAAACACTGAAACACAGGAAGATGTTGTAAAAATTATTTCAGAAATTGCCTTCAGAACCATCGGATTTCGTAAGTGAAACCATCCATCGCCAAGCCTATCACACGGACCACGGACACAGCCGCAGAGTGGAAGAGTAAGAGGAACTATCCGAAGCCATTAGCAAGACACATTCATACATTTTCCGAAATAGGGTGAGAAACATAAAAGACTGTCAACCAAATCGTTTTTTTTTTTAAAGATTAGGGTTTTTTGAATGGGCGAGGGACAGGCTGTAATAAGTTTCTGAATTCCTCCTGAGCACAAACCGCCCGAACAGAAACCTGAAGATCTGGACCTGCTTCCCACCTACGGCCCAGGGGCGCGATGAAGAGCGGAGAGGCCCAAACTCGCCCAGCCCAGTCCCCTGACCCCACCCGGGGGACTAGCTACGTCCACAGGCTCCCCGCCAAGGGCGACGAGAGGAGACCCCGCGGCCCCGGCGGGCGCGGTTCGGATCTCGGGGTTCTCCGACTCCCCGAGAGCAAGTGGGGAGTCCCCGGTTAGCAGCCTCCCCGCCCGGGCGGAGGCTCACCAAAGCCGAGAAAGCACATCAGCGCCAGCACCAAAAGCCGGTGCGCCAGGCGGCTGGGGTCGCAGAGGGCCGGGAGCACCCCGGGGCCGTCCGCCAGCAGCGCCCGCGCTGCCTCATCCTCCTCCTCCATCCGCCTGCGGGAGCCGACGGGCGCCGCCACTGCGAGACCCGGGCGGCAGAAGGCGGCCGCAGCCCAGCCAGGCTGGGATCACGTGACTGCGGCCGCTCACGTGACGCCCGGCGGGTCGCGCAGGCCCACGCTCACGTGCGCGGCCGTGATGACGTCAGGGGCGGGGCTGGCGCCGGAGGCCGGCCGGGAGGCGCCGTGGCCGGCGGTGTGTTCCGGTGCGATCCTTCGGGGGTTCCCACGCGCCCTCCTGCCCTTTCCCCGCCACTCTTGCCTGCCCTGCAGGCACGTGCTCCATTTCAGACCCCGCACGCGCCCACTCTGCAGGCACCCGCATTTCAGATCCCGCACCCGTCCACCCTTCTGACACCCTCATTTCAGGCCCCGCACGCGTCCACCCTGCTGGCACCCCCATTTCAGATCCCGCACCCGTCCACCCTTCTGACACCCTCATTTCAGGCCCCGCACGCGTCCACCCTGCTGGCACCCCCATTTCAGATCCCGCACCCGTCCACCCTGCTGACACCCTCATTTCAGACCCCACACGCGTTTACCCTGTAGTTGTCCCGGGAGACTATGGTCCTGAGCCTACAAACCTAGTCAATCCTCCAAGGTGTTTGGATAGGTCTAGGAAGTATCCATAACTGTACCCTCTATATGCTTTGTTGTATATATGCAAGCACATACAAACATATATATGCTTATACCACAAAAATACCTATATAAGCATACGCATGTACTTCCATTCACCTTCCCACACGCATATAGCATGTCTATCTAGCTATATAACCACTCATATATTTTTTGCTTATTATTGTTTGTCATGAATTGAACTGTGTCCCCCCAAAATATCTGTATCAATTTGGCTAAGCCATGATTCCCAGTATTGTGTGCTTGTCCACTTGTTTTGTCATCTGATGTGATTTTCCTCTGTGCTGTAAGTCCTATCTCTATGATGTTGATGAGATCGGATTTATGGGCAGTTACGTTAATGAGGCAGGACTTGATCTACAAGATTGGATTGTGTCTTGAGCCAATCTCTTGAGAGATAAAAGACAGAAGCAAGCAGAGAGACCTGGGGACCTCATACCACCGAAGAACAAGAGCCAGGAGAATAGCACGTCCTTAGGACCTGAGGTCCCTGTGCTGAGAAGCTCTTCGAACAGAGGAAGATTGATCACAAGGACCTTCCTCCAGAGCTGACACCTTGAATTTGGAATTTTGGCCTACTAGACTGAGAGAATAAATTTCTCTTTGTTAAAGCCATCCACCTGTGGTATTTCTGTTATAGCAGCACTAGATGACTAAGACACAGTTGTTGCAAAATCGTATGTTATAGCATTTACTGTAGTTGTCCTTTATTCTTGTGTACCACCCCGTGTCTTCATTTACCTTGGTCAAATTGTGCTGATTTCCCCCCATATTGTGTATTGCCTTTCTCATCACCAGAATTAACACATGTCTACTATCTAGTGATTCTCCTTCTTTCCCCCTCCCATCCCTAGTAACCATCAAAGAACATTGCTTTCTGTGTGTATACCTATTCTTGACTTTTTATAAAAGTAATATAATGCAGTATTTGTCCTTTTGTGATTGACTGATTTCACTCATCATAACATCCTCCAGATTTACCCATGTTATGTTCGTGGATTCATCATAAGTCTTTATCATTGCATAGCATTCCATTGTATGTATGTACCAATTTGTTTATCCATTCTTGCCTTATTGCTCTGGCTGGGACTTCCAGGACAATATTGAATAAGGGTGGTGGTAACGGGCATCCTTGTCTTGTTCCCATTCTCAAAGGGAAAGCTTTCAGTCTTCACTTGTCTTTTGACTTAATTATGGTGTTTTGGATGTGTCTGTTTGCTTGTTTGCTTTGCCTTGGAAAGGTTTCTTTTTATTTTTACGTAGTCAAGCCTGTCAATCTTCGTTTTATGGCAACTGAACTTTTGAGACAGAAGTCCTTTCCCTGCACCCATGTGAAAGAGGAATACACCCATTTTTTTTTTTTTTTTTTTAGTACTTGTATGATTTCCTCATTTACATTTAGATGCCTGAACCAGTTGAAGTTTATTCTTTGTTTAGAGTATGAAGTATGGGTCTAATTTTATGTTTTTCCAAAAGGCTAACCAGTTGTCACAACAGCGTTTATTAAAAAGTCCATCTTTGCCCCAGTGATTTGAGATGCCATCTTTGTTGTGTACTGAATTCCCATCTGCATTTGGGTCTACTCCTGGACTTTCTGTCCCGTTCTACTGGCCTGCCTCGCTCTTCATACACCAGCACCATGTGGTTCTCAGCTTCGAGGCTTTAGAGTGTGTTTTGATGAGCAGTGGAGATAGTCCTATTTCATAGCTTTTATTTTTCAGTATTTTCCGGGGTGTTCTTGCATGTTTATTTTTTCTTTGAAATTAGTATCAACTTGTCTGGCTTCATAAGAAAACTTGTTGGTGTTTTTTAATTAGAATTGCATTAATTTTATAAATTAACTTAGAGAGAACTGACACTTTTATTGTGTTAAGTTATCCTATTCAAGAACAAAGATGTCTTTCTATTTCTTCAAGTCTTCTTTCATGCCTTTCAAGTATTTTAAAGTTTTCCTCATATAGATTTTGCATATTTCTTGTTAAATGTATTATTTTTGCTGCCTTTTAAATATGACTTTGTCTACCTTTATGTTGTCTGATTATGTTATCTGTGTATATGAAGGCTATCGAATTTTGTATGTTAACTTTATATCCTGCCACTTTACTGAATTTACCATCGTTTGACTTAGTTGTATCATTAACTCTCCAGGGTTTTCCGGGTATACGATCATGTCATCTGCAAAGGGATACAGTTTTACTTCTTCTTTCCTAATTCTTATGCCTCTAATTGATTTCTCTGGTTTAACTGTATTGGCTGACACCTCCAGTTCAATGTTAAATAGCAGTTGAGATAGCATTCTTGCCTTGGACCTAGAATAAACAGTAAATAATAATAATAAACAGAAGGAAATAAACAGAGAAGGAAAGCTCTTCCTTACAACAGAAAGCCAACTAAGATGGAATGATAGAAATTTGCCATTTGGCACCATCATAATAATAACTGATTCAGGCAGTAATCATCCATGGGTACTGAAACCAGTGGGTGGAAGTTTGCGGAGTTAACAGGATGTACGCAGAGTCTGAAGCTATCCCCTCACAAGATACTTATTCATTATAAAGGGAAAAATCGTGCCGAGCATGCAGAAATTTTGGAAATGGTGTATCTTCGGCTATGTGTATTTTCACCAAAAAAAAAAGGTTGAGAAGTTAGAGGGCTGATATGTTGTGGGGTTGTTAACCAATGTCATAAAACAACATGTGTACTTCTGTTTCATGAGAAACTATTTGTTCTGTAAGCCTTCACCTGAAGTACAATAAAAAAAAAAAGAAAAAAAATAGTGCAGAAACCTAATATACACCACTTAACCAAGTTATCCAAGTTAACATTAGCAGGACTGAGACGAACTGGCGTCTTGTCCTTCTGATGTTATGCACCGGACAGAACACGTCTGTGGTATAACCAGAAGGCCACAGCCTAAACCTACTCACGAAGAAACATCAGATAAACCCAAAAATAAACTCACCACATTTTTCCTCCCTCATAAGAAGTGAATAAGCTCAGGAAAGAACAGGCAATACTACGTTTTTCTAAACAGAAAATTTTAAAGGACCCTCCTCCCCCTAACTTGGTACAAGAAAAAACTCCATGTAAATTAAAAAAAAAAAAAAAGTTACCATCCAGTTGATTCCAACTCGTGGAGACCCCATGTATTACAGAGTAGAACTGCTCCGCAGGGTTTTCTGGGCTGTCATTTTTCCAGAAGCAGATCTCCAGGCCGTTCTTCCGCAGGGCCACTGCGGGGGCTCAAGCCGCCAGCCTCCAGGTTAGTAGTTCAGCACGAACCGTTTGCTCTACCTAGGGGCCGTCTGTGTAAATCAGACACTAAAAAACAGCACTAAACTGCACGTACACTTACGAACAGCATATTGAGGAGGAGAAAAACAGCGGATGAGAAAATATTTGAATTAACCAGCCTTTTGGAGGAACAGCTTTCGGAAGGTGTCATGGTTTGCATATGTCCCCAGAAAAATGTGTGTATCAATTTGGCTAGGCCACGATTCCTGGTCCTGTGTGATTTTCCTGTATGTTGTAAACCTACCTCTGTGATGTTAATGAGGGAGGATGGGTGGCAGTTGTGTTAGTAAGGCAGGACCGGATCTCCAAGACTGGATTGTGTCCTGAGACAGTCTCTGGAGATATAAAAGACAGAAGTGAGCAGTGAGACAGGGGGACCTCATAGCATCAAGAAAGCAGTGCCGGGAGCAGAGCACGTCCTTTGGACCGGGGTCCCTGCGCAGAGACGCTCCTAGTCCGGGGGAACACTGAAGAGAAGAAGGCCGACAGAGAGAAAAAGCCTTCGCCTGGAGCTGATAACCTGCATTTGGACTTTTAGCCTACTTTGACTGTGAGGAAATAAACTTCTCTTTGTTAAAACCATCCACTTGTGGTATTTCTGTTATGGCAGCACTAGATGACTAAGACAGAAGGTAAATATGAACACTTCTTGTGCTAATTATGGATTTACTGTCTCTCAGCTCCAAGCTCATCCTTTTTGCACCTATTCTAAAATTTTGGTTTTCCTTAGCCAGTTGGCTGACTATTAAGCTTTGTCAGTAGAGGGCGCACGAGAGACGTCTCAGGAGGAAAGCGCTCTGCCTCCGTGTTGGTGCGCTCCCTCCCGCGCTCCTGCCACAGGC